TCATCTCCTGACAGAACCATCGCCACAGCTTCTCATGCTCAGCCCTCTCCTGACTCCTACCCTCAGTTTCCCCAGCAGAGCCAAGGAGAGTCTACTGATGGCTTACAGATAGCACACCCTTCCCTCACTCAGAACCTTCTATGGCTCCATCACTCAAGGTAAAGGAAAAAGCCTTCACAGGGGCACATAAGAGCCCACACCATCAGTCCCTGGATCACGTGACCTGGGCTGTGTAATAAGGCCCTGCCTAAAAAGGAAAACAAACAAACAAAAACAAAACGATGGCATCAAGGATGACTCCAAGCTTACAAGCCCACAGCTCGGCAGTAATTAGATCATAAAATTATTAATTTATAGCCAGGTGGTGGTGGCGCACGCCTTTAATCCTAGCACTCAGGAGGCAGAGGAGAGGCAAGTGGATCTCTGAGTTTCAGGCCTGCCTGGTCTATAGGCAGGGCTACCCAGAGGAAGAAGAAGAAGAATTATCAATGGATTTGTCCGTGCATTTATTTTAAAGTTCATTGCTTCTTATGTTTTATCTTTTTCCTCTGTCTTTCACACTGGACTAAAGCACCAAAAAAAAAAAAAAAAAAAAAAAGGAAGTTTGCTGTTTTGTTTGCTAATAAAAATATCCCTAGTGCCTTACACTTCCTGGTGCTTTTTCAGCACCCTTGGACACAGGTATGAATGACAACAGCAGAGAAACACTGAACCAGGCTGTGAGGGTGTACCACTATAATCCCACCAGGTAAGAAACACTGAACCAGGCTGTGAGGGTGTACCACTATAATCCCACCAGGTAAGAAACACTGAACCAGGCTGTGAGGGTGTACCACTGTAATCCCACCAGGTAAGAAGAGCCAAGCTGCAGATCAGCCTCGGCCACAGAGTGAGAACCTCTGCCACCATTCCACACCCCACCCCCAAGAAAAGGAAAGAAAGAGGCGAGAACAAGCAAGCCAGCCACACTGGTGACACACACCAGGAATCCCAGCACTTCGGGATCTAAATCCAAGGTCATTCCTCAGATACATGTGCAGCTTTGGGGCTGGCCTGGGCTACGGTTAGACCCTAACTAAAAATAAATTGGTAGATACATATAAAAGACCAGAATAATTAAAACATCCATGGTTGAATTGCCACTATCAATTTTGGCCTGATTTTGTGTTCCCAGTATGTGGCCTTTTGCCAGCTCCACAGCAAGTATTCAGGAATATTTGTAGACTAGAACCACCCACCCACACCCATGGCAGACCCCAAGACTCACCGTCAGAGGGCAGGGGGTCTCTGCAGTGTCCTGAGAAGGGGAGGAGGAAGAGGAAGAGGACGGAGTGAGTGAGCCTAGAACAGGGAGAGGCAGAAGTGAGTTCCCAGACCCCAGCTTCTCCTATGTCTGTTCCCCAGCCTGGGCACCTGTGCCTACACCACTGACCTCGGCTGAGTGCGGCCAGCGCAGCTAGAAGACCTTTCTGGAATTCATCAGCCTCGGCAGGACTCTGAAAAGTCAGCCCAAACTTGCAGTCACCCAGGCTCCAGTGGTGGAAGATAGGGTTCACTTTGTTGTAAACCAAACCTGGCCTGAGGGTACACTCCAAGGTGATCTGAGGGGCAGGAAGGGACTAGGTCACACCACCCTAGCCATGCCTGTGACCTTCCAGCCCAGCCACTCTCTACACCCCAACTACTTTCTTCACAACAGCAGGTGTACCTAAACACAAACTAACTACCCTAATTGGAGGGGACATGTCTCTGTTCTGCAACATCCCCTCAATCCTTTGATTTCTCTACTTATCTATTTTTTTCCCTCTGATGTCCCAGTAGGAACCTTGAATCTTATTAAATGTTAAAAAAAATTAACCTTTTCTCATAACCTAACATTTCTTGTTCTGATGGAAGAAGAATTATTCACATTTTACTGAATATCAAAATATTACAACCAGCTCCTTTCTGATGCCTCAATAATCCCCCGGAAACTGGTCCAGAGATTCTAACCTTCCACACAGAGACATCAACCTTCTAACCACTCGATGCTGACCACCCCTGGGTGTTTCCTCCACGGCCTTGTCTGATACCAACACTCCTCTACACTGTTCCTGCTCTGCTTCGCAATGCATCCCTTACCCAAGCTTTCCTTTTGAAAAAAAGGTTTCACAACCTAGCCCAGGCTGTCCTGTAACTTCACAATCCTCCTGCCAGTGCCCTAGTGCTGGGATTAGAGCCATGTGACAAAGGACTGTCGACCACATGTGACACTTCTAAGCAGACCCCACAAATGCCTCCAGATACTTAGGGCAGACAAGGGCCAGTTGGTAGGAGGGCATCTCTGAACAAGATGGAGCCAGAAGAGGGTTCTGAGCAGAGAAGGGACAGGATGTGAGCTGGGTGTGAGCTGGGTCGTTGTGGACAGACCAAGGTTGGAGGAAGAAGCAGGAACAGGGCAGGAAGGCCACTACCGAAGTAGCTGTGTGACAGAATAGCCAGAGAAGCAGTGGACACAAGTTTCCCAATACCCCATCCACCCCCAAATTCCAGCTCTTATTCACAAACCAGGTTTCATTCCAAAACCCATCCCAAGGCCCACTTTGAACCCCAGTGGTAGAGGGACAACGTGATCTCTCCTTGTCCCCCCCTTCCCAGACCCTTCCCTCCTTCCCCAGGGTTCATCCCATTCCCACACCCCAGGGTGGCTCACTTTCTGGTCCCGAAGCCGCTCCCCGTGGATGACGTAGTGCCCCTGGCGGGCCCCCCCCTCGGGCCTGGCCCCTCGGACCCGACAAACGCTCACCTGGCTGAGGCCCCCGCCCCCCACAGGCAGCCAGCCCCCACTGGAGTCATCTCGGGCCATCACCACGGCTCGGACCCGCACCATGTACCTGGAGGAGGTGGGGAGGATAGGAACAACACAGGCCATGAACTCAAATCTTCCTCCCGATTTCAGCGTTCCTCTAACCCTGCCCTCTTCTTTATCTCCCACCTCTGAATTTACCTCACCCTCAAGCCTCCAGTACCTCCACCCCTTGCCCACTTTCTTCTTGGTGACATCTTGCCCACCTAGCTTTTCCGTATCTACCTTTTTTTTTTCACCATCCCCACCTTTTCAGCATCTTCCCCCATCCCCACCCTCATAGCCTGGGTTTGCCACTTCCCCTCCCCCTACTGCTTCTCCCCTCAACCCCAGTCTCCTTCTCTCTCTCTCTCTCTCTCTCTCTCTCTCTCTCTCTCTCTCTCTCTCTCTCATCACAAACCCATAGCCCCACCCATTGTCCCCCTCACAGCTGGGTTCCTGCGCACATCTATTTTCTCTGGACCCATCAACTCAGCTTCAGTGCCCCCAACACTGCCTCCGCACCCCAGTCACCCAGGCCACTAGCTGGGTGAGAAACCTTGGCTCTTTCCCCCCACCCTTTCCCGGATTTATGAATGAGACCGGATGCAAAGCTCACTGAGTCACCCAGCAACCGGGAGATGGGCAGGGAGCAGAGAGAACCAGAAATGGCCAGAAAGAGAGGCCGAGAAGGAGATGGAGGCAGAGGATGCCAGCAACCGGCTACCGAAAAGATCCAAAGAGCATTTCATTCACAAAAATCAAGGTTGCTCCCTTTGGTCTCAGTTAAGGGACGCCAAAGAAGACAGATGGGAGGGGGAGATAATTATCCATCCCCCCCCCAATCCTTCAGAAACATTTTACCCCGCCCCCAGCTTAGGGGATATAGCCCTCCGCCCAGCAATCAGAATTAGCACCCAGCCCCATTGCCCCCAGCTCAGAGACCCTGGAGTCCCAACCTTAGGGACCCAGGCAACGAGTTCTAGCCCCCTCCCCCACCTGCAAGCAGTCGGGTTTCCCCAGCCTTTCAGGAGGGGAAGGGGCGGCCACAGCGCCCCCAGCCCCCTTTTCTCAATGGGATGGGATTTTGTGAATGAGCAGTCACGTGACACTGCTTCCTTTGTCCGCCCGCCTCCCCCAACAACAGGTGAAGCAGGGAAAGAGGGCAGGGGTCCCCCCAAAGGCCTAGCTGAGATGGGGCACTGAGATCTCGGGGTGTCCTACGTTCCCACACATCTATTTTCCCAGGGAGAGTAGTCCTCAGAGTTCCTCAATGGCGAGGTCCATGATGGAATTTTGTGAATGGGGCATCCTCGGAAGAAGTCCAGGACCCCCAAATGGAAACTGGTACCCCAAATGGCTACCGCGTAGATTGGGGCCCCCACCCCTCTTGTTCTTCCAGCTTGTATCCGCGGGGAGCAAGGGTGGGCAGAGGGGTGCAGCTGTAGTCCTAGCTGCCCCCTCACCCGGGCAGGCGGTCTCGTCAGCCCCCCGCCCCCTCGCCGCTCTGGGCACCTGCCTGGGAGGCTCCGGCCGGGCTCCGAGCGGCGGCGACGCGGCCTCCTCCTCCTCCTGTTCGCTCCCGCTCCCTCGCTGGTTCCGGCGGCGCTGGAGACGGGCACCGGGAGCCGGGGCGAGGGGGGGGGGGAGGGAGGGGGAACCTGGAAGACGTGTGGGGGGGAGGGGGCGGCTTGGGGGAGGGGTAGGAGCAAAGCGGGCGTACTTGCCCGCTGGGTCCTAGAGCCCGGCTCGGGCTACAACGAACACCCCTTATAGCCCCCATTTTCTAGGGACCCTGAGGGGAATCCCCTACTTTTCCACTTATCTGAACGGTTGGTCCCTGATGATGTGAGAAGGGAATAGAGATAGGGCCTGATCTTCGGGTTCTAGAAAGAAGGTGGTCCACGGTCTGAGATTTGAATGGGAGGGGCGGGATGCCCGGCAGGGTTCGAAAAGAGGCGGGGCCTGGGAGCCTGAGTAAGGAGGAGGCTTGGGAGCTGAAGGAACTGAGAGGGTGCGTCACGGAAGGGGCGGGAGGATGGGCCCTCTGAGCCATCCGAGTGAAGGCAGGGCCTTGGAAAGAGATGCAGCCTAGACTGAGCAAGGCGGATCTTGGAGATAAATTTCCTTAGGGGCAGGTCAGATACGAGGCCTAAAAGGAGGAGCCACGTAGCAGTGTTCGCAATGGGCGGGGTCCGGGGAGGTATTTAAAGGAGAGGGGCGGGGCATTATAAGGGGGTGGGGCATAAGGCAAAGGGGCCTGCACACCGGGAAGACACTCTAGTGTTTCTAAGGATGAGCTAGGTTCGAAGGACTGCGCTCAAACTGGCCCACGGGGGCGTGGCCTCGAGCTTGGGGCGGGGCCTAGCTCTTGGGGGTCGTCCTCGCTGTCTCGCCCACTTGCCTTCACCCGCACACTCGTTCTTTTCGGTTATTTTCTGCTACGGCCGTTCCCCGCCCTGCCCTGGTCCACGGGGACGTGGTCTGATCTTTGGCCGGCTGTAGGAGTCGGTGAGTGGGGTCTAACTGAGCGAAGGAGCCGGGGCGGAGCTTGAGGAAAAGGGGTGGAGCCTAAGTTAAGAGCTGTCACAAACGCCGAGCGGGAAAAGTTTAGACTTGAGGATTTGCTGCTGGCTGAGAAGAGGGAGGGATCCAAATGATCGACAGAGAGAGACGGTGGGTGATCGGAGGGTTAGGACTGAAGAACTGGGGGATTAGTTAGACTACAGTCCCTTGTATTTGTTAGGCAGAAGCAGACCTGACGCGGGTGGGGGCAGGATGAGGAAGCGGCCGATTCCTTGACAATTGGGGGCGGGGCTTAGGCCTCAAGGACTTGGTTAGAGTGTTAGGATAGAAACTTGAATTCCTTGTTGGCTCCTGGGCATAACCATCATTACCGGTGTGGTTTAAAATTCAACAAAGAGGCTGGCGAGAACTGACCCCGAAGCCTTGAAATCCCGGGCGTGGCTAAAGTGTTAGGTATGTGATCTAAGCACCCAAGGAGTCAGGGTTGGCACTTAGTACGTTAAGAAGTTGGGTTCGAAGAGTGAACCGCTTTTGAGACCATGGGGAAGTGGGCGTGGCCATGATGAATCGGAGAACTGGAGACCGGGGCTGAGAGAATATTGGAGGACGGGACACACCAATGCAGACAGGGACAGTCCAAGAACAGCCTGAGCCGTGGAGTCCCCGCAGAACCCGCCGACTGACTGGTAGAAGTTTATTTAACCACAGTCTCCGACCTCCGTCGGAAATGGGGAACGTGCAGTCGGAGCCTTCCGCAGGCGGAGGCTCCCGTAAAGAGCAGGCCTCAGACCGCGCATCCGACTCCCGCAGGACGCCTCTGGTGGAGCCCGAGGTGACACCCTCATCCCCAGCCATGCGCCTGGCTCGAGGGCTGGGCGTCTGGTTCCCTGGCAGTTCCGGGCCCCCGGGACTCCTGATACCCCCGGAGCCCCAGGCCTCACCCTCGCCCCTGCCCCTGACCTTAGAACTGCCCTCACCAGTGACACCCCCTCCAGAGGAGGCGGCTACGGCTGCGGTCTCCACACCACCCCCGCCCCCCGTGGGGTCCCTGCTGCCCGCGCCATCTAAGTGGCGAAAACCCACGGGCACTGCAGTGCCTCGGATCCGCGGCCTGTTGGAGGCGAGCCATCGTGGTCAGGGTGACCCTCCGAGCCTCCGCCCGCTGCCACCGCTGCCCCGGCAACTGACCGAAAAAGAACCGGTCCCGAAGGCCCCAGCCCCACCTCCGACGCTCCTAGAGCCTCGGAAGCAGCTACCGCCAGCACCTCCACCTTGCGACCCGCAACCCCCTAGCCGGAGAATCACTCTGGCCTCGTCGGCCACAAGCCCCACAGAAAGTCAGGTCAGGCATAGCAGCGAGGGTCAGACGGCCGGGGGAGCCCGCGGAGGGGCACCGCCCCAAGTCGGAGAGGGCGAAAAGGCTCGGTCTGCTACTTCCGAGTCCGGCCTGAGTCTGCTGTGTAAAGTCACCTTCAAGTCCGGGCCCCACTTGTCCCCCGCATCGGCCTCGGTCCCCTTAGCAGCCAAACCCTCAGTTGGGGCCGGTGGTGGCGGAGGACTATTTGCCTCGTCGGGGGCCATCTCTTATGCCGAGGTCCTGAAGCAAGGGCCCCAACCTCCTGGAGCCACTCGTCCTATGGGAGAGGTCCCTCGTGCAGCTCAGGAAACCGAGGGCGGTGATGGAGATGGCGAAGGGTGTTCTGGTCCCCCTTCGGCGCCTGCTCCCCTTGCCCGGGCTCTACCACCACCCCCTTACACCACCTTCCCAGGTTCAAAGCCCAAATTCGACTGGGTGAGCCCTCCCGATGGCACTGAACGGCACTTCCGATTCAACGGGGCTGCAGGGGGAATCGGGGCACCCCGAAGGCGCACAACCACACTCTCAGGGCCATGGGGCTCCCCTCCACCAAGGTCAGGTCAGACGCATCCAGCTTCAGGGCCCCGGAGAACCACACCTGCCTTGCTGGCTCCACCCATGTTCATCTTCCCAGCGCCCACCAATAGCGACCCTGTACACTCAGTGCCTCCAGGTCCGCAGCAGATACCTCCGTTGCCACCGCCACCACCCACACCACCAACCACTCCGCCACCGGCACCGCCACCCACACCACAGCCACCAGCGCTCCCGAGGACGCCTATCCCAGGCCCTGGCCTTGCGGAGTCAGCCTTGGCTCCCACCCCTCCTCCCTCTCTGCCCCCTAACGTGGCCGCTGACCAGGTCCCGCCCCCGCTCCCGGCCCCTGTTCCGGACACTACCCCAGCTCCAGCAACTCCTCCTGCTGAGCCGTCACCGCCAGTGCCTCAACCCACCAAGATTCGTACACGCAAGAACAAAGGTCCCCGAGCGGCCCGGGGTGTGATCCGTGAAGAGGTTTTATCTGGAGACGGTCCTCGAGAACTGACTTCAACTCCGGTGACTGACAGCAACAGAGGGGGTGGCGGTAGCAGCAGCGGAACCTCCACAGCCGGTGCCCCTAACAAGGGTGCAGTGCGCCACTGGCCACCTTTCGAAGTGCTTAATTCTTGCCCCTGTAAGTGCTACTGCCGCCATCAACCCCGCCACCGACGCCTGCCTCGCAACGTGTCTGCCTGGTGAGGGAGATCAAGGAGTGGAGGGCACACACTCAAGTCCAGCACCCATTTTCCCTGGATAGAATAAGATTCAACACTTTGGCATCCTGACCATAGGCTGGCCCTTGACTTATGTGGGTCTCGGCCTAGCTGAGCCTCAGGAGCTGACCTTTGACTGGCCTTTAGCTCAACCCCTTGACCCTTAGTCAATTCCATAACCTTCCTGTTGGTCTGACCCTATTCTGCCTTAACCCTGTCCCCAAGGGCACTAAGGCCCAACCCCAAGGTTTTTTAGAGACTGGGGAAGGAAGCAACTGTCTTTTTGGAACCTGAGGGTGGAGTAAATAACAGGCCCCCAACCTTTCTGGGCCCAGTGAGATCCTCACCTTCCATACCTTATCCCAACCCCCTACTCACTTACCCTGGGCCCAAGGCTTTGGCAACTAGAGGGCAGACCTTTGCGGACAAAGATTACCCATCAGGGGGCACTGCCTCTCTCTCCACCTTCGCTACTATACTAAGCCCCTGGATTTTGTTGCCAGCTCTAAACCTTGCTATGGACAAAATCCTGCCTTGGGGGCTTAGCTCGGGCTCCTCATACTCCTTCCTATTCCATATGGATGTACCTCTGCCCCAAATGCCCTTAGGAACCTTATGACACTTTGGAGTAGTCCAGCAGACTACACAGACCCTGTCAATTCTTCCTTCTCCCAGGCTGAGCACACCCACCAACCACCTGAGTGAGCCGCCCTGGGTGGCCACCGTCAAGCTGGCTGGCTCCCTAGTAGCTGGACTGGAGCACTACGACTTGCAGGCCACCCATTCCAACTGAGCGTGGCCTGCCCAACACCCTCTGCCTCACCTTCCTTGCCAATAAAGCACCCAGTCTACACAGCTTGCCTAGCTGCCTATCAGTTACCACTGGGGAAGCTGAGGTGCAGCCATGAGCAAAGCCAGGCCTCCTTCAAAGAACCAACTCTTGCAGATACCAAGTAAGGTGACAGGGTCCAAAGCAGTGAAGCTACTGAGCAGCCACACTTGCCGCAGGTCATGGGTCACGGGAGCCAGTGAGGATAACCAACTGGATGAAGCAGGTAGCTTGGCCAGACTTGGACTTTGCCCCTTAGAGTTTTCTAAGGACTTCAAAGCAGGAGGCAGGCTAGTGGGCCAGCCAGCAGGGTCTCCCTTACAATGTCAGCTCAAGGAGGCCAGATCGGCCATACCCACATCACGGCCCATACAATTTATTGCAGAGGGCACAAATGACAGCCCACAGACACGGTCAGTTTCACATATCATTTGAAAAATTATTTAATCCATGGCCAACATTTTTAAAATTGAGACACATGGTACTTCACTGGAAAAAACCTAGTCCCCTGGCCCAGTGCCACAATGTATCCACAGCTGGCTAGAAGAGTCCTCAGTCTGGGCCTGTGCTGTGGGCCACTGGCATCTACACGTAAAACCCAGAGCAATGGGCTGGATAACACATACCCTGGGGGCCCAAAGGCCCCCAAACTCCCAATTCTCCAGGAGCAACTATTTCCCACAGTCCCACTGGGAGACTAGGGCCCATAAAAGGTTAATCCGCCTTTATTGAAGGCTAGCCTATACTGGGTTTGTTGGACTAGCCATGTCCACCCATCCTAGCAGAGGCTCAGACAATCATCTCCAGCTGCCGGGCATACTCGATGACCTGTTTGGCCAGCTCAGTGGAGGGGATGGTGGTGTCTTCTGGCTTCTGCTGCTGACTGGCAAAACTGTAGTAGTTGTTAGGGCCCAGGACCCAACCTCGCTAAAGGAAAAGAAATCAGAAATAAGAGGGTGATCCCACAGGCTGCTCCCCACCTCTTGGTATGCTCCTTTCTTCACAGATCACTGCCACCAAATTCACCCCTCCATGTTTGAGACGGGTACCATAATCATGTTCCTCTATAGCTCTACCACAAGGACTCAGCTAATGCCTCTGAGCAACGAAAAACAGTATTTGGTCCACAGCAAATAGTTAACAGCTGCCACCATCACACCTCAAATCCATCCCTTTGACAGTCTGCTTTTGACTCTTGAGTTCCTGGAACCAAGGTCAGCATGCACCATGAGTCAGCATCTGCTGGGGCGCTGCTCCTACTCAAATGCTCCCACCAAATGAAGCAGTCTTATGGGACAAGCTGCTTCTAAGGAATTCTGTTAACCTAACATCAGAGCATCCTTGGACCTGGTGCCAGGCGCCATGCTAAGCTCCACGTGTCTGTCAAACTCTTGTCAAAGGCCATCGAGCTCCAGAGAGCCCAAGCCATTTGTCTGAGCAGACTTTAATCTCCCAGACTACCCACACTGTGCACTAATACTGTTGAGACAGGGTACAACACCCTCCATTCCCCAAATCCAATCCACAACCTTCTTGGCGTAGTCTGTCATCTTCTTGGGTGTGTTGAAGAAGAGAATCCGGGTAGCTTCAGCAAAAAGGATTTTTTCATAGGCCTTTTCGATGCATCCTGCGATTTCATCCCTGTGGGAAGGTGACAGTTCTCACTGCGGAGCAGACAACCTCCAGACCCTGTCCTGCTGGGACTGACTGCAGCACTGAGGGCTTAGAAAGAGCGAGCTAACTTGACCAGTCACAGGCAGGCACGGGCCCCTTCTTCAGTGTGGAGGAGGTTCTTGTATGAATGAAGAAGAGGGCTCATCTAGCATGCCTGTACTCCCAGCACTTGAGCGGTAAGGCAGGAGGATCAGGTTCATGGCCAGTCTTGGTTATACGGAAACCTTTTCTCAAGCGCCCTACCTCCCAAAGAAGGTAGCATGCCTGGGAGTGGAGCTCAGCAGCAGAGTGCTTGGCTTAGTCTGCACAAGGCTCTAACTCAACTCTCAGAAGCTGTGTGTGTGTGTGTGTCCCACTATGAAAAACACCAAGGCATCAAATCCCAGGAATTGGGCAGGGTAGCATCTGGGGACCCAGCACCCACATACATACCTGATAGTATCCAGCAGGATGTCAATGAAGAAAGTATAGCTTTCGGCAGGGATGTTCCCCTTGGCCAGGAACACCTTGTTGTAGCTACCCTCCATCAGGTACTGCCAAGGCCAAGAAAGAGGAGGAAGAGGATGAAGGGAGCACAGGGCTTCCCTGTGCCCTTGTTGCCTCCCAACCCCTGCTCTACCACAACATCCTTGTGTGTGGTTGCAGCCCACCCATGCCCAGTAGATTGGGTTCCATCTCTTCCAAGAAACCCTACCTGGCATACACACTCACCTGGCAACCAACCATCTTCTCTGCAGTTTGGAGCCCAGCTCCCACTCCACAGACATCTGAACTGCTGCTGCCACTGACACTGTCACCCCACCCCACAGTAAACCCTCCAGAGGCCTCAGCACCAGATACAACTCCCTAACAGCTCCCAAGGCTCTACCCTAGCCTTATCCCCTTGCTCCTCTACCTTTTTTGCTGTCCCTCAGATATGACGGACAGGTTTTAGCCTCAGGACACAGAGAGTGTCTCTGCCAGATGAGCTCTTAGCCCTGTCAGATCCTCAGGACCCCTCCCAGACCCAGGTCCCCATAACACTTCCGGTCTTACACACCACACAGGTGACTCATTCTTCTGGTACCCGATGCTTCTTCCCCGCACTGTCTCAAGATTAGGGGTTTTACCTGTTTGATTCACCGAACAAGAATCCTCCCTGGTGCCTGGCACACACCTGTTTTTATTTGCTGATTAAATGAGTTGGCGGGTTGAAAATGAATGGACCCTGATACCCCTCCAGGAAACTCTCCTCACAGTCTCAACTCACGCCACCCCCTCAGCCAGGCTCTCCCTTCCCTGCCCAGCCTTACTTGCTCGAGGGACACAGGGTGTTTGATGTAGACATTGGTCTGGATGTCCTTGGCAGGCAAGCGTTCTAATTCTGTGTGGAACTCAGCTACTCGATTCTGGGATAGCAGGAAGAGGAGGTTGAGGCCCAGGAGCTGGTGCATGTAGGCTGACTCAGGAAGCTGTTCCCTGTAAGCCAGCGAGGGGGAACTAAGGTCAGCAGGTCCTAAGGACCTAGCCAAGAGCCTCATCTATCTTCCAGAGTCCTCCCAACTACGTGCGGGATTTCAGACAAGTGACGTACAGAGAGGCTAGAAAAGCCACAAGTCATATGGACCAAGCAAGGTACCTCAATTCACAGTGACTCAACATATTTCCCCATCTGTTAAACAGTTGTCACTAATATCCACACCACAAAGGCAGGTTCCTTAAATATGGTTAATTAAATGGCCTAACCTAGGTATAAAGTGATAAGAATAGCACCCAAAGGTTAGGAACTCAGTAAGTAGAATGTTGTCCTAGCATCCCCAGAACTACATAAACCAGAAATGGGTTGCACACCTGTAATCCCAGCAATTGGAGGTAAAGACAGGAGTATCAGAAGTTCAAGATCACCCTGGGCTACATACTGAGTTCTCAGCCAGCCTGGGGAACAGGAGACACAGACTTCCAAAAACAACAGCTGGGTATGGTGGCCCATGCCTTTAATGACAGCACTCAGGAGGCAGGATGACAATAAATTTAAGGACAGCTTGAACTATATAGCAAAAACTCAAAAACAAGCTGGGCAATGGGGCCTTTAATCCCAGCATTTGAGAGGCAGAGGCAGGTGGATCTCTGTGAGTTCCAGGACAGCCAGAGCTACACAGAGAAACCCTGTCTCAAAACAAACCAGCAGGGGGCAGCACTACTTATACTCTCCACCCAAAGGCAAGGGGATTGCCTTGAACTCTGTCTCAAAACAAAAGAACCAGCACACAGTGGTTCTGGAAAAATAGCATCCTATTAGCTGCTATAGATATGCCAGCTGGAGGAGCCAAGAATACCACCTAGTAGCTGAAGGGTAACAAGTAGCCACACTGCGTCGAGGGAACATAGTGTGAGGATCAGGGATAAAAGCACTTGCAGAGCCGGGCGATGGTGGTGCACGCCTTTAATCCCAGCACTCGGGAGGCAGAGGCAGGCGGATCTCTGTGAGTTCGAGACCAGCCTGGTCTACAGAGCTAGTGCCAGGACAGGCTCCAAAGCCACAAAGAAACCCTGTCTCGAAAAACCAAAAAAAAAAAAAAAAGGCACTTGCAGAGGTCCTGAGTTCAACTCCCAGCATCCACTTGGGGGCTCACAACCATCTAGAACAGGATCTGATGCCGTCCTCTGATGTGCAGACATACATGCAAGACACCCATATACACTAAAATACAGACATAAATCTTTAAGAAAAAGGAAAACCGGTTAGAAACTTACAGAAATGACCACACAAACCAAGTAGACTACATAAACCCAGGTCAAGACTTTCAAGGCAATCCCCTGTCCCTCCAGCTTCTGGGGACAGAGCTCAGAGCTAAGAATAGCAACGGTTCCCAGGAGAAAAGCCAACAGCGAGCCAGAGTAAAGGAACCAAGTAACCAACCACCTGACTCCAGCCCCTCCCCGGAGGGCCCAACCTCACTTGTAATCAAAGTAGTAGCATTTGAGCTGGGCCATGTAGCGCTCGAAGGAGGGGATGTCCTTGCATAGGATGCTCCACTGGGCCCCGATCTCCAGTATGTCACCTGTTGGTAAGGGGGTGACTCTGAGGTGGTGACTGGAATCCCTCCTGGGATCATCACTACCTCATTCTTACCATTACCGCCCCGTCCCCCCTCCACCAACCAGTGACACTCACGGGCCAGAATGAGCTGCTGTTTGGTCAGTTTGGTCCCTGTGGTTGGCAGAAAATTGAGCTCCAACAGAACCAGCTGAGGGGGAGGAATGAAGACGAGACTTCAAACACAGGTCACCCACTTGCTCTGGACTCTGATGCTCCTCCTTGGGAAATGGAGCTGACGAGCATCCTAACGCATACAACGCTATGAGTACCAAGGGAGTCAGCCCCTGGAAAGCGCTGAGCCTAGGGCCTCATCACCACAATGCTACCGGGAAACAGGAGGCACTCGGGACTGGACCCAGGGGAATCCTGGGGTGGGGAGACACTGACGATCTTAATTGCTTTGTGTTTCTGTTTTGTTTGAGACAGGATCTCCCTATGCAGGCCAGTCTGGCCTAGAACTGGAGATCCTTGTGGTAGTCTCCAAAGTGCTAGGATTACAAGTCGGGGACATCTCATGCCCAGCTA